ACTGTGCTGGTGATAAGTGTGCATTGAAAGCATAAAAATTCGTTTATACCATACATAACTAAACGAGGGCTAAGAAAAAAGGTCAATTTATCAACTTTTTATTTTTGACATAAAAATGCACTTTTCTAGACGAGCTTTGTCCCAGGAATCTAGTGGTGCCATTTGTTTTCACCTGCGATGTTCAGAAGTGCTTCTAAATCACGAAAATGCTTATGACGTCACCATGCCCTATGCAATATGCAATATGCATGTTGGAGCTATTTTTACAATTTGGGGATCAAAAATCAAGATAGAAAGTAGAAATTTGGGACATCTAATGTTCTAATAGAGCTTTATAACATATATTCCGTTTTTTGGAAATTCTCAAAATTTTGGATTTTAATAGCTGTTTTCCAAAAATAAAGTTTTTTGAATTTTTAGGGGTGAAAAACGCATTTCATGGAAAATCTGAGATAGCTATTTTAAAGAACTCGTTGAGCTGCGTCTATTCATGTCCTTAATTTGCAATTTGCTTTAAACCTTGATTTTTGGCGATTTTTTAAACATTTATCACTTTCTAACTGAAAACGCCATGTAGTTACATCACTAAAATCGATATATCTCAAAAAAAAATAATTTGAAAAAAATCTTAAAAATTACACAAGAGACGTTAAATTGATGGGGGAGAAGGTATGCCAAGTTTCAAGTTGATAGCGTAAGCGGTTCATGAGTTATTCAAGAAAAACGGAGGGGGGCTCGGATCCGACCCCCCCCCCCCCAGGCGGTCGCGGGTTAAGTCATCTAGTTATATAAATGAGTACAACATTGTACGAGAGATATAATAAAATCGTTTCCACTGTATTTTATAAATAAAGGTACTAAAAAGCCTCGAAATTTACGATAAGAAGAACAACTTAATAGTCCAGCAATCTGCAAATTTCGTTGCCTGCTGAGCTCGGGCGGTGTTACCCAACAGTCGGTGTTACCCCGAAAAATGTAGAATTTACTAAATGATCGCTATACTAAATCGCTATACAAATGCAGCTTCAGAGTACTATGCGATTGTGAAATTATTGACGTATAGACAGACTGGCCACAATTAAATTCAAGCATGCCATCACAGTTCACATGTAATACCCATGTTTATTTAACCCGCGCCCGGCTGGGGGTCCTGGATTTCCACGCCCTGCTGGGGGGGGGGGGTTTGAACACCCCCCCCCCTTGTAACTCGGCTCCTGGGCCACGTAGCGATACGCGGAAGGCGGCGTTCGAAAGAGCGTCAAAAATAATGACGAAATCACTTTGGTCAATTTTTTGGTCAGGTCAAAGGTCAGGTCACCAGAGGTCATTGAAGGCAAAATTTCGCCGATTTCCAGGTCGAATGTCGAAAATTTCCAAGAAGCCAACGCATAACTCGAGAACCAATAGAGCTACAGCGCCGCGGAAAAAGCGCATTCGATAGCCCTATTAAAGCCCTTTCTGAGTAATTCTCTCAGATTTGACCTAACGTCAACGGTTTTGCCTGCAGGGGGCAAAAATTGCAAAAATAGCCGATTTTTCGGAAACAGTTTTTCTGCAATAACTTTTGACCCAAGCCTTGTACGAGCTTACTTTTACCGGCATTGTGTTCCTCTCGTCAAGACGCATCGAATGAACTATAAGTTGACCTTGAAAGGTCAACTTGAAAATTTGACCTCAGGTCAAGGTCATGACCTGACCGGAAAGGGTCATGTTGCATATCAGTCGATCCGTATCGTCGAGCTGAACACATCTAAGGCGTTTTCATCGCTCCAGCATGCCTCTATCAAAAGTTATTTGCGAAAGACTGTTAGATACCATTCGTGACCTAAGATGACCTCAGGGCATAAACAAGGGTCACGGACACCATTTTCATCTTCAGTGTGTCTAAACCACTGGTAATTCGGTGTTTGGGAGTGTTTATAATGTCTTTTGTCCAAAAGAGGCGCATTTCAATTTTCTCCCATTGACTTATTATGGGGAGGTCGCAAAATTGACCTGACCTTAGGTCATCGATATCGAAATTCTGAGATATACATTTTGTACATGCTATTGCTCTTAGCAATCGCTGAAAGTTTCAAAGCGATCGGTCAATCGGTGTAGCTATGACAGACATTGAAACTTTTTATGAGGTGAGGTCACTTCAAGTGACCTGGTGACCTGACCTTGAATGACCTTGGTCTGAAATTTTCACAACATGTGTAGAATTGATGTACGATAAGGTGTACCAAAAAGCGCCGCCGTTTTTGAGATATTCGCGAAAAACCACAAGGGGGGTGTTCAAACCCCCCCCCCCCCCCCAGCAGGGCGCGGGTTAAGGGAGAAGGTAAATTATAGGCGCCAAGGTTGTTAGTTGGTAACCTGTATATCGATGTGCTATTCATACAAAATCTACTAATCTCATTCGATCCACCCACCATCCGTATTTTCCTCCGACAACCCCGTGTTCGCTTCTGTTCCGGCAGAGTTTCATGGCCACCAGCGCACGCGGGAACCCCAGACCGTAAATCACCGTGTGTTGACAGTCCCTCCCCGCCGGTCGACGCGACTCGCGGGTTTTATTACATGGGGGAACGGCAGGGACCGAGGCGGAGACCCATACGACATCTAGCGGCACTCCCTTGAACCAACAAAACAGTCAAAAAGTGGATATGATTCGGGCTTAATTCCAGCCACAGCTCCAACATTTCTGAAAAGTAAACTTCATTTTCGTGTGAAGAAATGTTCTGTGCACATTTCTATGTAGCCACTTTTTTATTTTATGCGTCACACAAAAAATAAAAGATGAGCAAAGTTTTACTTTCATTTTTTGCAACATTGCAAAAAGAAAATGAAAAATCGGAGTACATAGAATTGTTGTCCACTTTGAGGATATGCGGTTGCCACTCATTTTTTGCGCCTAGTTTGAATGACGTTTAATGAATTTCGGCCCAAACTTTTCAGTTTTTCCACCTTTATCGTGCAATATCAACGTGAATATTGCACGGAATCAAACAACTTGTCCAGAGTAGGCTTCGTATACCTATGGAGCAGGTACTTGCCAAATTTGAGGCTAATATCTCTATCGGTTTTCAAGATATTGCGGTTTTTCACCTCCCATTGACTTAACATTAACATCGCACCCTTAAGTTTTTGTAGCATTTTACCCAGCTGCGATAAATCTGACACGCCATTTTAACCGATTTTCATTGAGGTGACGATTTTCCTAATCATGCCGACTTTCAGCGAAGGCCGCCACGTTCCCCGTCACGCACACTGGACTCTATTTTCAGTGTCAGGGCTACGATTTCACCATGGTCACGCACAAGCAGGCCATCAACTACATCAAGAAGGGGAAGACACTGAACCTGCTGGTGGCTCGGTATGGCGTGACGCACTCGTAGTTGACGGCCGTGACTGTCACAGTGGCGGCTGGCTGACGTCTGTCGCCTCAGCTGCGACCGCTAGACGCCACTGGCGCAGTCCGACGGCGTCCCCCACGGCGGGCTTCCAGCGTTCGTAATGAGCTTTCGTACAAATCACTTTTGCGTCCTAATTGAGTGAGCAGTGTAAATGACGCGTCCACAAGTGCCAGAGTATTTTTGGTGGCCGCTGTGCCGGCCCAGCGCGGCACGATGCTGGGTGCGGTGGCTGGCGTTTTTGCTCGGAGTGACGGCGGATGGTCAGCTCGCTTAGCGTGCGACCAGACACCCTTGCTTTGGCTTTATGGCAGTAGCTGGCCTAAAAAGCTGCCATTGCCGCGCACACAGCCGCTGCCAGGACTTTGTGATTGTGAAGCTTAGTGATGACAGTGATTGAGCTTGGTGCTGCATTTATTTACTAACAATTGGCGGGAATCGCGGACTTTATTAATGGCGCGTTAAACATTGTCATGACTTCTGTCGTTGTTAGTTTATTCCCTCTCTCTTTTGAAGTGTTTGATGCCTCCCGGCAACGCCTAGTGTCACCAGTGAATTTTGTCGTTCGATATGACCAGTCAGTCACTGGAAGCGCCTCTGAAGCTTAAAAAAACACACTCACTTTGGGTCAGTCTGTCTCGAGTCACATGACAGAGCGAAGGTCTCTAGGCATGCAGTCAGTCACTTAAACCCGGAGACCGCCCATCGTGTGTTCATAATGCACAAAACTTTACCGATTTAAACGACCATGCTTACAACTGCTCGGTTAGCCGTTTTGGCTAAAAGGCAATTTTGTTGTGTTCAGTGTGTGCTCCATACATCGGACCATGAGGAGATTTCATTTTTGTTTACACATTTGAAAAGAGAGAATGTTAATTTTGTTTTAGTCATAATCTCTTTGTGATTTAGATTTCGACGTACTAGTGTTGGTCGCATTTTCCTGATAAATTTTCGACAGTTTCAGGTCAGTTGTAGTTCTGTGTTAGTTTGGCAGCTGCTTTATGTTCGTCGCGGCTACATGTGGTTCGATTTTTTTTATATCATCGTGTTTTTCTATTGCTTTTTATCGCGTTTTAATTGAGTTTATTCGTACTGAACACATACCGACATGAAACCAGCTTTGGCCCGCTTGCGATATCCGTCTTTTCAGCGATACTTGATCACTTTTCCGCTTGAAACAGCCTGCCAAAGCGGCAGAAAACCACTGTACTATTTGATTCCCTCGTATGCATTCCTTTATACAATTGATTTACCTTTTTGTGCGTGCTTAGTGCTTCTTATTAATTTACTTTTGTATGCGCTTGATGTTATTGTGTCTGCATTGTTCATGCATTTGTAAGATTTATCTAATCAGGGTAATCAGTATATTTGCATTGTCGCGACCGTGGTGCACCCACGATCTGCTGCACGTTGCTGTGTGTTTGGGACGAGGACGAGCGGCGTGCTCACCTTAGCCGTGGAGACTGCTCTCTGGCTCCGCGGCGGCTGAGCTTCTGTGGGCCGCCGCTAGGGTCCGCTACCAGTGGCGCTCCCTGCCTCAATGCGCGAGTGAATCCGCTTGGTCTGTACCGCTAGAGATTCTGATCGGGGTGAAATACACAGTGATTTTTCTCATCGGCCGAGTTGTATTTACAGTCGGGGCTAGCATGCGAGTGGAACAGCGGCTCACGCTGGGCTGTCGCACAGACAGCAAAGGCACAATGAAAGACTGCGGCAGCGTTCTGGTCCCACACACACCCGCCCTCACATAGACATCATCTGCACTAAAACGCCCGCCCGCACAACGTCGAATGCCTGCTAAATGCCCGGTCATTGTCTTGTGAAAGACAGCGCGGCGACCGGAGTCCCGTCCCTGGCTCATTCGGGCGGCCCCTCCGCGATCCCTGCTGCAGCGCTGTACGCCAGCGTCACCTACCGTTATTGCCTATGAAATACATACGTGGTGACTCCTATTCTTGCCACACCGCAGATTGGTCGTAGTAGGCCTCCCTTTCAAACATGGCTGCCTCGTGGGCAATATATCTTACCTTTACAAGCATACACAACATCTAAGCATCGGCCTTTTCGCCGCGTTGGCGCTAGCGGCTACTGGCTTTTTAAGTTTTCGGTTGTACTTGAAAAGCAAGCCCGAGTTTAAACCGGCACTAAAGAGCTTGCCATTACGGCTGCACTGATGGAGAATCTCCAAATGGACATCTAGGGACGCACATTTCGAAGAGCTTTCACGAAACGCGCCAGTAGCCGCTAGCATTACAACACCAAACATACAGGGTGTAACGAAATTATCCGGACATCTATTTTTTCGCCATATCTGCTCGCACAGTTTCTTTTTTAATGTCAGAAACTGGAAAATTGGATGAATGCATACCTCTGGTATCTGCTCTCAACTCAGCAGTGACCTGACCTTGCGAAATGACTCTTGCTCTGAGTAAGAGTCGAGTCGCCGACGGTTTCATATGATAGTTTTCGTTTAAGGCAGTGGAGAGAAGGGAGTACAGTCTCTCGTTTCGTAGTAAGGCTACGTGTTGGTGGCATGGTGGCATGAGCCAGAAGCTGGTCTGTCAGCAGCTGGACATCAGCAGCAGCCAGTAGCACATCTGCCTGAGGCGTAATAAGCTGCGACTTGGTGGCAGACTCAGCCCGGCCTCGATCGCAAAAGGCGCCCTTTGCCAAGTGGTGACGAGAGTTGTCAAGATAGCGACAAGGAAACGGCACCAATTAATCCGCATACTGACTCGAATTCTTACCAAGGCAGATAATAAGAGGCCCACATCATGATTCACCGTTACCCGCCCTTTAGCTTGGTTTTACTGCCCTTCAAACTGGAAAAGACAATGAAATTGATGGGAAAACAACCAGTTCACCACCTTTGGCCTCAGGCCAGGGCGTGTCCACTGGTCGAAGGAAGACATGAATGAGGTGACCTGGTCGGATGGGAAGCTGTTCGAGCTGCGATATCCGTTGAGCCGTCAAATCGGCCATGTGTGGGCTGCCAGCAGCTCGAAGGTGCCGGCCGTCGCCGGCGTCAAACATCCGGCCAAAATCCAGACCTGGAGCATGTTCAGCTGCTGTGTAATATTCAAGCTGTTCATGACGACACAGAAAACCACTATCAGTGACGAGTATTACCGGCGCAACATTCTGGCTAGCGATTGGTTGGAGCCACTCAACCAGACGGCACAGGAGGGCTCGGTTTCTGAACGTGTACCGATGCCTGATTCAAGCCGCGCAGTCTTCATGCGGGGCGGCGCACCACCTTCAAGTCCCTAGCAGAATGAGAAGTGATGCCGAGAGGACCTATTTTTCTTCTGGGATAAAGGGCTATGGTTTGGAAATAGTTCCCATGCAATTCCATCGATATCTTATGGACTATTGTCCATCAGGAGATGAATGAGGGGACACCCGCCACCAGCGCCGCCCAACTGTGGGCACAGGTTAGTAAGGCGCTACTCTATATGAAACCCACTGTGCTGGAAAATTCAGTGGCTGGAATGCTCCAAAAATTTGTACCTGCGCTCTTATGAAAGGTGGCTATATAATAATTCAAAAGGCAAAATATCAGAATGTCTTGCTTCTTAATTACCGCGCGAAGAAAGATGTCCGGATAATTTCGTTACACCCTGTAGCCATGGTGGCAACACGAAGACGGAACGTGAACACCACAGCTTCTTTGAAATATCAGCAGCAAACAACACACTCTTAAATACACGGAATCCCAGTTTGGTCCCACCTTAGAGATCACCGCTCGAACACGTTTGTACAACTTATGGATGAACGCATTGCAGTACTTAATGGTCGAATAAGCTCACACAACTGGCCTATTTCTTGGTCGGCCTATGACTACCAACCAACTCCCATTCGCGAGTCATTTGCAGCACTCGGCTAACTACCGTCTATGTTAGGAGCATAGAGCCTCGCTCGGCTCGAAGCGGCTCGGGCGCACCTGGGTCCAACTTGAAGCTGGTTCTGGCCATCAGTGATCCGCAACCCAACTTGAAGCGACCGCCGGCGCTGCCACCTCACTGCAGCACGGTCTGGTCGTTCGGAAAGTTCAGTAGCTCTGGAACTGAACAGAGAGGACCGTCAGTCTCCGGTAAATGGTCCGTCTCTGGGGTCGGAGTTGACCCGACAGACGAGTCGAGTCACCGATGACGTGACGCTCATATCTCAGCGGTGGTCGGGCCGGCGCGGCGGAGCGAGCTGTCTGCGCGGCACGTGCGGGTAGGTAAACAGACGCCGAGCGGGCCGGCCACCCGCCGAGAGGCGCCCTGCCAGCGGCGCTCCGCGGTGGCCCCTGTCCGAGCTAAATCGGGCATTAAAGGGCCACCTGCCGCCCCCTCCCCTCCACTTTGTTTCTGTCATATTGAGCTGACGTTGAGCACCGAGACGGCACCGAGACTCTCGACGCTTCCCGGGGGCGCGAGTGCTAATGAGTAATGATGGCTAGGAAGTGAAATGGAGGTGCTGGATCTGCTGAATGCCGACTCCCAACACAACCATTATTTACGGACGTTGAATGCGGGCGAAATTTTTGACGGTGTCGAATGGAGTGGTACCGGCGTACACAGCAAACAATATCCCTTTTTACGCTACTCCAGCCAACCAAGACGTTAAATGCCATAAAATTGCGCTGAGGCCACCCGTGCCACCTGGTGTTCGAGCTCACCTTCCAGGGCGTCAGTTAGTGCGGCGTCCCACCACCAGGCGGCAGTGCCGGCAGCGGCGCCCACTTGTGGTTGACAGCGCCAGTCTCCTGCAGGAACAAATGGGCGGTATGTTGGTACGCACAGTGTTTATCGAGCGGGCGAACCGTGGCACGCCGCTCTATCAGTCGAAACGGCTTCATGGCAAAAAAGTGATAACTGCTGCGAATCGCTACAAAATCGTTCAGAAGCTCATTCTCAAATTTGGATAAATTGCATGGTTTTGCCGTCGGGTGCCCACATCTTACAACTCACCCTGCTGCTGTTCGGACAGCTGAGGCTGGTGCTGAGGCTGGTGCTGAAGCTGTTGGTGGTGCTGAGGCTGGTGCTGGTGCTGGTGCTGATGCTCAGTGCCGTACCACTGCTCCGGAGGGCCTTCGTAACTGACAATATCTGCCAGCTCCACCTGGAACTGAGCGCAGATCCCGGTCAGCCGACAGGCAACATCCCTTTTTGAAGAATTCAATAATAACAACAACAACAAAAGCAGTGACAACAAAAATAATAGCGGAGGGAGTAAAGCGTCCACCGTCCAGCCACGTACCTTTTGTCGTGAGACCGACTGTTCGGCCGCCGTGTGGTTCTTGATGTGTTTTCTCAGCGACGAGGGGTCTGTGTAGCGCTTATTGCACCCGGGAACCTGGCACATGTATGGCTTCTGAAACAGACCGAGGGAGCCTCATAAGCAAACTTATGCCTACATCGACCGCTGAGAACTCGGGAGTCCAGGACACAGCGCAGGTTATATGTCATGTCCTGCCATAGACCTCTGTATCTTGAGGTCTTCGACCGTATTCAAAAGTCTATCCGTATCATCCTGTGGAGCGCAGAAGGCAGTTTACATATCCCCTCACGCACGTCCGTTGGCCCTCCCTGCCCTGTCGGTGTCGGCGCCGTCGTCGGTGCCGCGCGGCGGTGCGCGTGGCGCCCATGTGGCCGGCGCGGCGGCGGCGCTGCACCGACCGCCACCGGAGCCGCCGGCCGGCCGCACCACAAACATTCCCACGCCGACCAAGGTCCGACGGGGTGCGCTGCGGCGACGACGGGATGGTCGGCGCGGTCCGCCGACCGTCCGGGGCCGCCGGACCGCCGACTGAAGGTCGGTGGTGGGAGATTCTTGCGCTGAGTTCTTCGAATGCCGCGATAATTATCCTCATACTCATTGTACGCTCAATTGTTCGTATTGCATTCGTCTGATTGAATTCATCCTACATCTGGCCGTTTCTGCACTAGTTGTACATAATGCCATTCAAGGAGCCGGGGAGGAATCTTGGATAAAACACGTTACCATGACTACTTCTCGTCGCAACATAAAAAATTTGGATTCGCCGCAATTCGAACACGGCAATGTTCTGCAGGGTCTCGCGGAGTTCAGCGGCTGTTTCGTCAGCGGCCGGCGTGTGCCGCGGCGCCGCGCCGGGTCACCCCTGTAACCGGGCCGCGGCACGGCACATCTGCTGCCTGTCCGCTGCCGTGGCTGACTAACAAAGTACACAGAGACCGTGCACGGAGCGGACGAGGCGAGCGCGCGCCGGGGCCAACGCCGGAACTTCCCTGAGATAGAACGAGCTGAAGGCGTACCCACTACCCATGCCGTTCGGATAGGGATATCTCAACAAAATGTGTTACCTAGTTTTGTGTGTGATTACCACACCATCCCGCCAAAATATGCGGATTGAAATAGGACAGTCTGGGCATGCCGATGCTCCAATTGCTAGGTCATTTCACTTTGCGGGGCGACTCGAAAAATAGATATAAGCCGCAGCGATTCGGTGTCTCAGCGAAACCGAAAGACCGCAGCTGGCTGATTTGTACCACAAAGCATTTTCCATTCAAATTTGTACCGAACTGGTTCCATGTATCCGGTGTCGATGGCGTGACTCTCTGAATCATTCCGTCCTGCTATCGGCGGCGGAACTGGGTGGGGAATGGGGATCCCGCGGGCAGGCAGACGCCGTGCCGATTTCCGGCGTCACCATGTGTGTTCCGTCCGGACTGGACCGGATCCTGCCGTTGCAGAGACGCCCGGACGGTAACGGAAGAACGGCCGGGGAGTGGCGGGGAGTACTAGGAAGTCCACTGAGAGGTGGGAAACGCTCGGAAAAGAACTGGGGAGCCACCGAAGACTAAAAATGGGAGCTACCGGAGATGGAAGGAAAACTATGACAGTAGAGGAGAGACGGCAGGGAGCTTGGAAAGAAGAAGAAAGAATTGGAAGTGAAGATTCAGGACGAGGTTGCAATGAAAGTTGCGACTGGAAGATGATCTTGCGAAGTGCTGGCCTAGAAGTTATTATTATGCATTGCACAGTGAACAGACTACAGTGCACATTGCACAATGCAAATACCCGGAACACATCACTTACAGGTTACTTACAGGGAGGTTAGGTTAGGCGTGTATTTACAGCAAGCACCTTATTTGTATGGTAGTCGGGTACTTACAGCGTCTTTGTGCGTCCTCTGGTGTTTGGCTCGGTCCGAACTGTTTGAGAAGGCCTTCGGACATCCGGGAAACTCGCAGTTATAGGGTCTCTCCCCAGTATGTGATCGAAGATGAATCTTCAGATTCTCACGCCGGGAAAATGCCTTATTACAGCCCTCGTACTGCGAAAAGAATGTCATCGTTACTCATACGACTAATAACGGGACAGCCACAAGCTACAATGAGAAAGCTACTGCTGGCAAATGCACTGCTGGCAAATGCACAAGCAAATGCTTTACTCGTTTCGAACTGAACTATATATTTGTCGATTAATTAAAAAAAGTAAGAACAAACAGCGCAAAACAATAAATCAGTGAACTTTTAGTTGAACCCGAATCACAGCCGACGACGCTACTGATAGTGGAAGGGACACCTTTTTGCATGCGCGGCTCAGGTTACATGGGGACCACGTGTTGTGACCTACCTAGTACCTAGGGTTTGGCAACTGGTTAGGGAACAAATGACCCGTATAAATCATAGTCATAAGACCACATGTTGTAGCCAGTGGATCTGGCCAGCACCCGAGCAGTCATTGTAGATGCCATAGCCGGTTGGAGCTCTAGAAGTGAAAGACCGGAGTACGCATGCACAACACGGGGCAGGTTTGTATTGCTGAATTTTGGATGTCAAAACTGTTTCGAATGAGCGAGTAAAGAGGCCATGGTCCGATTTCAGGGATGCTTCCCTCAACAAACTTTTGAACTCTACTTTTAGTAATGAAACTTCTGAAATTTAGATCCAAGTATAGGTAAATACTTTGAGGAAAAAAACATCTTGATCTTGATACGTTCTTGATTAATTTTTTTATCACATCCTGACATTTGTGAAGTTGCCAAACCGCGTCCCATTTTATTTTCCCTTATAGCTAATGAACTCTGACTGGAACTATCGCTAATTAAGTGGACATGTTTCACGGAACGTGTCCTGATCCCTCCCATTAAGTAATAAGTAGAAGTTAACATTACATGCGAAATTAATTTACATCTTCTATGGGTTATCTATTCTGGAGCGCCACTGGAGCTCTCTCTGGACGCATCTGTGGCAGCCGACAGGGCGTTTTCACTGTAATGAATAGCACCATTAAATGTGTCACTACGTCGCCACGGGTGCGCTCCGGCAAAAAGCCTCCCTCGGGCCCCTACCGCCGGCGGCGACACGCTCGCACTCGGCCGCCGTGTCTCACATTGTTTTCGTTTCTGTTCTGGCCGCGTGAAGCGGTCTTTGAGCCTCCCGCCCCGGACTGGCCGCCTCAGACGTCTCGACACATGTGTCAACGTTCTTCCAGAGGCGCCTCGCCCCGCGGGCCGTTTTTCAGCCGTGCTGTACGCGCGCAAATTTGGTTGAATTAATGAGACGTATGTGTCGGCTGCAGATGGTAACACAGGGCTAATGGGGGCGGCAGACGCTACACCGCAGCCGACCGGCACAGTGCACTTCGAGAGTAGCACACGGATAGCGCCAGACTGAGTTTGTGTGTCCCTTATTCCTTTCCTATCTTTCCACCCACTGTTGTACGTTTTTTTTTCTCAACCCTCCATGAACCCGCATTTTTCGCCGTTTTCTTACCGTGCAGAGGTTGGGCTTCTCCCCGGAGTGGACGCGCATGTGAATCATGAGCTTGTAGCGCGCGTTGAACGGCTTCTGCTGCCGCGGACACTCTGCCCAGTAGCAGGTGTACTCGTCGCAGCCGCGGCTGTCCACGTGCACCTTCTCGATGTGCTTGACGAGCGCCGTCTGCCGGTCGTACTGGAGCGCGCAGCCGGCCCACAGACACGGCAGAGGACCGGCGGTCGGCGGAGACTGAGCCCTGGTGGACGCCGGCTCCAGCGCCGCGCCGCTGCCGTAACTGCCGGAGAACGGCGACTGGCTCGACTCGACCTCCTGCTTGAAAGTGCAGCCGGCCAGCTCGGCAGAGTACTGCCTGAACGGACGGTCCTGCAGCGGCGAGTCGCGCCCCTGGCCGGTGCACAGTTCGTATCGTGGCGGCTGCTGCGCCTGGCCGACCGGCTCCTGTCTGAGCATCTGGGTCTGGCCGACCGGCTCCTGTCGCAGCAGCTGGGTCTGCCCCAGCGGCTCCTGTCGCAGTATCTGGGTCTGACCGATCGGCTCCGGGCGCAGCAGCTGTCCGTGCTCCACCGGCTCCTGTTTGAGCAGGTGCGACTGGCTCTGCGGCAGTACCATGTAGTTGTTGTGCGCCGCCTCTGAGGGCCAGTTGGCCGCCTCCGCCGGCCGCAGAGACTGGAACGGCGGCAGCTGGCCGCCGACCGGCCGTAGCGCGTGGCCGTAGTTGCCGCCGACACCGGGGGCCGGCTCGACCTGCAGAGAGTTGGCCGGTCCGCGGATCGGGCCGTCCACGGCCTCCAGTGGGAACGGAGACGCCGAGAGGGGCCGCTTGGCGCGCAGGCCGAGCTCGAGCGAGGTGCGCGGGCCGAGCTCGAGCGAGGTGCGCGGGCTGAGTGCCAGCGGGCTGAGCGAGCCCGCCTGGCTGCTGGCGCGCCGCTGGGCGGCGGCCAGCTCCGGCGGCGGCCAGCCGTCCGGGTGCAGCAGCGCGCCCAGCAGCGACGCCGCGTCCTCCGGCAGCGAGAAACTGGTGGCCAGCGCCGGGGAGAGCTGCTGCTGGCCCATCAGATCGCCGCTCGGGTCGTGCTCCAGGTGCATGGCGCCACCTGCGGAGCGCAGACCTCGTCAGGACATGGTTGGGGGCATCTCGAGCGGTCATTGCACGACTGTTGCACAATGCACAATCAACAGATGTTGAGGCTATGCGACGGCTCAGGCTCATGGGTTAAGTGAAGGGGTAGGACGGGTCAAAGTAGAGCGAAGAGCACGTTCAGCGGCTAGCTCATGCGTGCGACAAAAATCGATACAGCCTTGGGCATCGGACGACAGGACACCTGGGTCACTTATATAGCTTAGTTGGCGCACCCCATGACCTGATCAATGCCCATCATCAAACCACATCTCCCGCCTCAAGATTAGCCCTCGCCCGTAAAGGGGGAGGGGGGAGGTCGAACGGACCCTCCCCTCGGGTTTCGCGAATAACTCGCGTAAAAAGCGGCCAATTGCGACGAAACCTTGAGTATTCTCGAGTTAATCAATTTTACACCTACCCTGAAATTTCATGACCCTGACCCAAATGACCGTTGTGACCTGTGACCTACCTTTCGAGACCATGTTTGGCCGGAATCGCGATTCGGCGTATGTCGGCTCGCATTAGCCGTGCGTTTGCAATCTTTTCGTAGTTTCAAGCGTTCAAACATGTGATATGATGTTGGTTCCATTCATAAGCGTGGGTGTCAAGGTCACCTGAAGGTCGGGTCAGGTCATTGACCTTTGATGACCTCGGTTCATTTTTTAGTTTTACATGTTTCTAGGCTAGTTTTTGGAGCTGAATTCGAATTCAGCAGCCATTTGAACATTTACCAAAATGATGAAATAGGATGGCTAATGGATGTCTTAAAAATTCCCAAATTTAAGTTCTTGAAAATTCTCATTGGCTGATATTAAAAAGTATGACCTGTAGATGACCTCAGGTCAGTGACCTCAGAAATGTATCAAAGGAATTCCACATAGGGTATATCATATTTTAACGCCTTATTATGACATTTGCGAAAGGGGAGGGTGCATCAACCCTGACCGGAATATTAACCCGGCAGGCGGTGGGCCTACCAGCCACCTTCCGCGCGGTGTGGGGGGGGGGCACTTTTTTGCCCCCCCGTATCTCCGAAACTACTGGACGGATTCGGAAAATTCAAACGGCGTTCGATAGCCCTGTCAAATTTGTTGAGGGAAACCAAATTTCATTGACCTCGGGGTCACCGATGACGTCACAGGTCAGGTCAAAGATAAAATTTTTCACCGTTCACGGGGCTTCTAGGGAAAGCGCTATAACACCGAGTAAAACGCATTTTGTCGAAAATCAGCGATAAGGCGTCAGTTGTCTAGTACATATGTTGCTATTAGAGGTCACTGGTCATACCAGGTCAGGTCACAGGTCAGGTCACCAAAGGTCACCAAGGGTCACCAAATGAGCCCAGCTTTACTAAGGTTATGCGATGCATGTTTTATGGCCAGTTTTTCATTTCCAACTCAATGGTGTTGGTTATAAGACCATCAGGTACGGTTTAGGTCACTTTCTGTTGGAGGTCAGGTCAAGGTCAGGTCAAAAAAGGTCAAATTTCAAAGTTGATCTTTTTGCATAAAATGGGTATCGATTCGATGCAGCTCGTCACGGGGAGTCTAATGGTGGTCTTTGTTTTGCGCTACGAGGTCTAGAATTGCTAAAAATTGAGTTTGAAAATTTGACGTCATCAATTTTGAACAGTTTTTTCGCTATAACTTGGCCAAAAAAAGAGGTATCGATCTCAAATTTGGTATGTAGATAGAAGGCGGTAGGGGCTATCACATATATTCCGGTTATTTTGAAATTCAAAAAACTTTTTGGATTTTTTGGCTATTATATTCAAAAAATCTATTTTTTGATTTTTGGGGGCCAAAATCCAAGAAATTCGAAAAACCGAAATAGCAGTTTTGTACCCCTTTTAATTCCACACCTTTTATGTCTGAAACATTTTTCTGTATCTCTAAAGCTGTGGGCCTGACAGCTCTTCCCGCGAAACCTTTTTTTGGGTCGAAAATGGCAAAAATGACGTCACTCTGACGTCATTAGCGGCCAACCTATCATAGCCTTTGGAAAAATTTTTGGTCACCATGTGCGCTAGCTGCTCCCGGGAGGGTACTGAAAGTTTGGTGACGATCGGCGCAGCGGTTCTCGAGATATATCGAAAAAACTAAAGGTGGGGGGCAAAAAAATGCCCCCCCCCCACCGCCTGGAAGGTTAATCGTTTTACATATCGAAATGAAAACACTGAATAACAACACACATTACTTAGGCCTAGGGACTAGAATAGATCGTAAATAAAATAAGTTTGACATCATATGAAACAACAGAAAACTCGTATGGACTTATCTAACAGATATTGATCGTCTTTTATATCAGGTGGCGATTTTGACGAAATTCACAGTGTTTACAAAACATGATGTGGCTACGTAAGTTGCATTCATGGTTACTACAGGGTGTCCCAGAAGTCTTGAAGCTTTTTTATTTTTGTCATGTGACCCTGCTATGCCACCGATTAAGGCAAATGATGCCTCAAACGAAAGAGAATGAACTGAAATTTTGTATTTTCATGCGTAGAGCACCACTTTAGTCAGGTGACCCCCGTTGTGAGTCGCACTAGAACGAGCACGAGAGATCACGTTCTTCGCTGCCGCCAAGATCTGCCGATTTGCGAAACACCGGTGTCGCCATGCCCGTTGCTTGTCAGCTTCAGAGCCTTATTCCATGAAGCGAGCCAAGAAACAGCGTATTGACCCCAGACCCCAAGAAAACATTGGCAACCTAATGATTTACTGATCAGAAAGTCTTCTGAGATGTTTTCACTCATCCACTACGAAAATAAGGCTCAGCTGCTTGAGCGCGCTAAGCAACAGCCCATTGTAATCCTTTGATTCGTCGCATTATTATTGGGCTAAGACAAATATCAACCTGTCACAATGTTAATTTGCGACGTATATTTGCCAGCAACAGGTTGATATTTGTCTTAGCCCCATAATAATGCGCCGAATCAAAGGATTACAATGGGCTGTTGCTGATCGCGCTCAAGCAGCTGAGCTTTATTTTCGAAATGGATGCGTGAAAACACCTCCGAAGACTTCCTGATCACTGATCAGTAAATCATTATGTTGCTAATCTTTTCTTGGGGTCAGGGGTCAATACGCTGCTTCCTGGCTCGCTTCATGGAATAAGGCTCTGAAGCTGACAAGCAACGGGCATGGCGACACCGGTGTTTCGCAAATCGGGAGATCTTGGCGGCAGCGAAGAACGTGATCTCTCGCGCTCGTTCTTGTGCGACTCACAATGGGGACCACCTGACTAAAGTGGTGCTCTACGCATGCAAATACAAAACTTCAGTTAATTCATTTTCGTTTAAGGCATCATTTGCCTTAATCGGTGGCATAGCAAGGTCACACGACAGAAATAAAAAAGCTTCAAGACTTCTGGGACACCCTGTATTTATGTCCGGCGAATAGTTCCAGCACAGTGTGACGTGTGCTAGTTTGGCAAATAAGTGAGAAAAATCGGCATAAATTACAGCAATTGCTGAATATTTGGGTTCGGAATTTTCATAAGCAAAGGCTGAACGATTAGTTTTTTACTTTCATCGGAATCAAAAACTTTTGTAGGGGGAAATGTTTGTTTCCAGACTTATCGAGCACAATCTTTTAGATAATTTTACTAAATGGTGCCGGTCTCAAACGGTCAACAACGCGAATGCTCAAATGGGGAACGTTTGTGAGTAGAGTTGGGATAGGTCAAACTGGAATGTAATTAGCTTTTGAAATGATGAAGGCCGGCCTTGAAGCCAATGCTTACATATAGGCAAACCTTCGCACCGTTTAACGCGAATAAGATAATTAATAGTAGGATAATATTCAGGCAACCCTTCGCACCGTTTAACGCGAATAAAATAATTAATAGTAAGATAATATTCGCAAACGAAATGTAGTCGATAGTATCCACTACATTTCATCTATTTACTAGATGCCTATCGTAGATAAAATCGTTTGTAGAGTTGACAACGTACAGGGTGATCAAGATAGAATGACATAGAGTTAGCCCCCACGAAAGGCGCATAATGTATATTTTAATGCATAAACAGCACACCGTTAGAAAGACAAATGTTGGACATTTGACATAACACAAACGGAATTCAGTTGTGACACTTCGTTTGTCTAAAGGAGGTGCTCGAAGTGCCCACCCCTCTACGCGCAGCAGAGCTCCGCCCGGCGCCGGGTGTGCCGCGCCATGCGTCTCAGATGGTTGACGACCATCGTGATTCGTGAGGGCGTAGTCCTCGACGACTAACGACAGCCTTCAGCTCATCAAGGGTCTTGAGTTCTGTCCACGATTTCTTGAGCTGCTTGGGGTCACAAGCTCAAGTCCAGGTCGAAAAAACTCAGGACTGCATGGTTACCAGGGATACTGGGCCCTCACCGGGCCTTAAAAGGTGCAGAGAGTTTAAAAATTCTTCAAAAATCAACTCAACATCCACTTTCGCAATGCCTCAGGAAACCTGGGAACGTCTTTCAGGAATGTGTGGACAATTCTGCACAAGAAACTGAACTGGAAATCATATCGCCCGATCCTAAAGACCGTCCTCTCCGCTGACAGCATGGTGTCGATGCTGGAAGCGTGCATCTTCTGGCTCAGTCAAGCGGAAGAATGGCTCGGACGGGTGATCTGGAGCGACGAGAAGTGGTTTGTGGTAAACAATCACCCTACAGGAAGAATACAGTCTCCCGGTAGCTTAATAATCCACAGGAGCTGATTCATACAAGAAGGCGCCCGGAGCAAAGGTCATGGTCGAGCGGAGAAGCGAGATCTCTTCGAGCACCTGCTGTAGACAAACGAAGTGTCACA